TAACTGGTGCTATTCTGAAATAACTCAAAATACTGTCAAGCTGGAGGACTTCTTACTCCGACTCCTGTAACCCTGATTGTAGGAGGAGCAAGGGAAGTCAGAGGAAGACTATTTTGAAATGAGTGCTGTGTAGATACTCCCAATGTCGAAATAAGCTATGCAATGGACATAGCTCAATTTGCGTCGCTTATTTCGACTTAAGCCTGGCAGTGTAGATGCACTCAGAGTGGCATGCCACGCAACAAATGAATGAACATTTGCCTTCATCTACTTTTTTGTATCCTCATTTGTGACTCCACCTGACCTTTGTGCCTGGGATGAAAGATGTAGGAATTCCTCTCTTGTTTCTCCCAGGCACAGTTGCTACACTTGACCATTCTCTTTCCTCATTGAATCAAATGCCGTGTTCCGAAAGAAGTTTTTTTCTGCCCGATCATGGGCATGAGTGAATGAACATCTCAGCTAAAGCGCTGGAGGAACCAAGGGCATGAGAAGCCACCACAGATGAACGCACTGCAGTCAAGAAGCCCATTAATAGAATGGTGCAAAATTCCAAGAAGGATGTAGACGTAGTGCTTCAGAGAAGGGCTGAGTAGCCAACTTTCATTTGTGTGATGATTTTAAAACACATGTTAAATATAATAAAATGGTCTTGAAACTTTTGCTTTCTGTTTTAACTATAGGGCCTTCACCCTCATGGTCCCACCCCCTAGCCTTGACTCTTCTGGAAAATCAACCAGCCTCTACACCTCCCTTACCTAGATTACGTTGTTGTGAAAAACAAGTTATAAGCTGATCTTCCTTTGTAGATGCCTAAATATTTTTGGAAAATCAGGCCTCATTCTCTTAGGTCCATTTACAAGTCTCCACTATCGATAGATGTGGATTGTGGTGTTTGTCCGTACCAGGCACACTAGAACGAGGCCACAGTGACAAAGATGATCTCAGCAGAAAGGGCCTTTCTATTTCCTAGCCCAGGTGTGGGAAAATACTGGCCCAAGGCCGGATCCAGTCTGCCTTAGTCCCTGGCAAGCCACCTCACCTGCATATTTATCTTGGCCTCCACAGGTATGGGAGATCACAGCTGGATCACCATTCCTGGCCAATAGGAGCTGCAACCACCTGTACCAGCAGAGGGGCAGATACATATTTTGGCCTCTCCTGATTAGTCAGGACTAGAATTGCTTGGAATATCACAGAAATGTTTCTGTGCTAATAGATTCTTACCTTTCCAGAATGATCAGACCAAGTTATCGGAGCACAAGGAGTCTTCCATGAGTGGTACAAATCCTTACCCCATCTACGCGGCAGTGGAAGCAAACCTGCATAAATCACATGAAGATGGCCTAGGTAAAACAAAATACACCAATGTTCTGCGCGAGAGCCGAATTCTGTGTCTGAAATTTCAAGAGCTCTATGGAAAAAGTATATATTGGTGTTGCCTCATCCTTTTTCTACTACCACAAATACTTCTAGGTGGAATCACTATTTAATAGAGCTGATGAAGTATAACTAAGTATTTTTTTTAGTCTAAAAGGGTACATCTACACGGCACGTTTATTTCAAAATAAGCTATTCTGGAAGAAATACTCCCAAATTGCTTATTTTGAAATAGCATGTCTACACTACAAGGAAGCCTCAAAATTAATCTGTGTGCGTATATATGTGTTTGTGTGTGTATATATATGTATGTGTGTGCGTTTATATGACCGTTTGTGTATATACGTATATAAGTTATTGTATAGAATTTCAAATGTATTTGTTATTGAGGACTTTACCAAAATGGTTATTGATGGTCTTCGTTTTCCAGAGAAAGAGGTTTGTCAGAAAATGAATAGTTCCCAGAATGTTTTCAGTCATGACTTTGAAAACACTTTCAACACCAATATCTCTTGGATAAGCATGTTATACTCTATGAATAAAAGATGAATTCAAAGCATGAAAAGAACTTGGAAAAGTTCAGAAAATGTGAAATGGATGTTTGCCTTCTCACATTAGCACTACAGTGCAATTGCTCACGTCTAGATTTGACTTGTTATGAGTCATGTTTTTCACTGTAGCTCAGGCTCAGGGTTGTGGAAGGGCAATCACCACAGGATGAATTCACGTTACACCCAGGACAGTACATCCTGGGTTAGGAAGGAAACTCCAGATGGTTTATTACATAGTTATCAGTAGTTCACAGTCATGCTGGAAGGGCATAATAAGTAGGGTTCCGCAGGGGTTCCTTTTCCAAATATTGACATACAGAGAAAACTTATTAAGTTTGCAGATAATACTCTCAGGATAATTCGTTAAGGATAGAAATTCAGTGCACTTAGCAATTTTTCAGGCTTGCATGATGTAATTTGAAGTCTATGCAACGGGGGAGCTTTGAAACAACTTGCTGCTCCCAACAGCCCCCCTGCCGATGTAAGTAGGGTCTGAATCAATGCTTCCATGACCGCCAGCTGGAATGGGAAAGAAATCCTGGGTGTGGTTATGTAAATACAGCTTGGCCCCTTCTCTGCTGAGGTCTGCTAGAGAGTCACCTGTTACAAGGGGGTTTTGCCCTGGCAGCCAATTTGGCTGCTGTGGGGTTGCAAATAGTGTTAGCGCTAAATGCAGGAATCGTGGGAAGTGATCACCACGACTTGGGGGAAATGCAGAAAAGTCAGACTATGTTTAACTTGGTTCAAAAGGACAGACACCATCGGTGTAAGGAACCATAGATAGCCAAGGGATCCCCTGCCAAAGCTCTGTGACGTTAACTGGGGAGGGCAGGGCTCTATGCCAGCTGGCCGCCTGCCCTCCAGATGTGAGCTGTAAGACTGTCTCAGCCTGTTTCTTCCCCCCTGCTCCCATCATCAAACCAGAACCCCACTCCTTGAGGTGTCTCTTCCATTTTTTTAAGTTTCCTCCTGGGGATGCGGGAATTTCCAGCGGCTGGACTATGCTCTGGGCCAAGAGCCACGCGACCACGAGCCAGCAGAAGATGCGATGAGTGGTGAGGAAGAGGCACAATGAGCAGCCGCTCGGGAGACGAATACAGAACGGGACGTGGAATGTTGGGCACCTCATTTGCATATCTTATTATGCAACAATGTTCAGTGGAGACATTGCCTTGGTGTTTCCTTGTTCGGTTCCCTCCCTCTGGGGCACCTGGTGCTGGCCACTGTCGGCAGACAGGACACTGGGCTGGATGGGCCTTTGGTCTGACCCAGTCTGGCCGTTCTTATGTTTTTATGAATTTCCTCCTTCATGTGCAGATGATTTTAGGGCCCTGTCTATACGATCGTTAATGGAAGAAAAATGAGACTCATTTATTTATCCATTATCAGAGGGGTAGCCGTGTTAGTCTGAATCTGCAAAAGCAACAACCCACTTCGTCAGATGCTTTTGCCCACAAAAGCTTATGCTCCAACACTTCAGTTAGTCTATAAGGGTATGTCTAGACTACAGGGTTTTGTCGACAGAATTTCTGTCAACAGATAACTGTCGACAAAGCTTCTGTCGACAAAGAGCGTCTAGACTACATCCAGTTCTGTCAATAAAGCAAGCTGATTTGTCGACATAACAGTGTGGACGCAAAGGACAGTGTAGATGCAATAATGCCTTCTATCGACAGAACTCTGTCAACAAAAGGCGTTATTCCTCGTAGAATGAGGTTTACATACGTTGACAAAACTCCTGAGTTTTGTCGATGTTATGTCGACATAACTCAAAGGCAGTGTGGACGTAGGTATAGTTTTGTCAACAAAAGTCCACTTTTGTCGATAAAACCCTGTAGTCTAGACACACCCTTAGGTGCCACAGGACTCCTCGCCGCTTTTATTTATCCATTAAATCACTTTAATAATTGATTCCCAGCACAAGCTCCCTGTGTGTGTGTGCGTTTGCTTTCATGTTTTCCTTTTTCTTCTAACGTACAGATAAGGAATTGTGGTTTATATCGTATTTGCATCTTGCGCATATGTTAATGTTTATGTTTAAGCGTTCCTAAGAAAGTTGGTAGAAGTACAGTGGATGGCAAGATTTTGCGCAAATACTTTTAACAGAAAAGTTTTTCCGTTAAAAGTATTTGCGCAAGAGAGCGTCTATACTGGCATGTGCCTTTGCGCAAAAGATTTGCTTTTGCACAAAAGCATCCATGCCCAGTGTAGATGCTCTCTTGAGCAAGAAAGCTCCAATAGCCATTTTAGCCATCGGGCTTTTTAGCACAAGAAATAAACGTGGCTGTCTACACCGACCCTCTTGTGGAAGAGGGCTTATCCCTGAGCGGACGCGTCCGAGTATTTGCACAAGAACCACTGATTTTGTACATTACAAAGTCAGTGTTCTTGCGCAAATACTCGCGGCCAGTGTAGACAGGCAGTAAGATTTTGCACAAAATCATGCCAGTCTAGATGCAGCCATTGGGAGAGGATCTAGATTTCAGTGTTTGAGTCTTCTCTACCTTATACCAGAATTACTACTTTGAGTAAATCCCAAATGGTACAGACAAGTGTCCTTGTTTTTAAGTGGACCTTGAAATGAGTGTAAGCGGCAAAAGCGTTTGAGGCGCACTGGGTTGGCCTGATATTTTCCTGCCAAAAATTGGACACCAGTTCTACACCATTACAGGTCGTCCCCAACTTACAAACACGTTGACTTACTACTGTTCATATTTACAACCAATCTCCCATTAAGTTGGTCTCCAAGTTACGAATGCGATCCGTGCTCACGAACAGCACAGTCACATTTAAAAGAATGGGGTCCAACATACGAACAGATCGAGTTACGACCCAGTGTTTGGAACATAACTCGTTCATAAGTTGGGGATGGCCTGTATAGGGCAAGAATTTCTGCTCATGTAAATCTGCCCACGTGCATTGACCTCGGTAGGGTCAATTTGGACTTGCATGGATGAGGCCAAGAGTCAAAATGGGACCGTTTGCTTCTAAACGACATTGTCCTGGCGATAAATAAGATGGGCCAAGAGAAACAAAGCAAACAAGTAGGCACGGGAGAAAGTCAGACAATTAGTTCTTGGTGAGAAACGTCCGCCCAGCTTGTCTCTTCAGGGCCGCTTTCATCTCTGTATTCCTCATGCTGTAGATGATCGGATTCAGCACTGGAGGCAACGTGGAATAAAGCACGGCCACCACGAGATTGAGACCCGACGTAGCATTCGTATTCCTCATGCTGTAGATGACCGGATTCAGCACTGGAGGCAACGTGGAATAAAGCACGGCCACCACGAGATTGAGACCCGACGTAGCATTAGAGGTAGGTTTCAGATAGGCAAAGATACACGTGCAAGCGAACAAGGAGACCACCATGAGGTGGGGGAGGCAGGTGGAGAAGGCTTTGTGCCGGCCCTGCTCCGAGGGGATTCCCAGCACCGCTTTGAAGATCTGCACGTATGACCCAATGATAAAAAGGAAGCAAATTATGCCTAAGCAGGCACTAAGGATGAGAACGTGAGCTTCACGGAGATATGTCTCTGAGCAGGTGAGCTTGAGAAGCTGGGGGATCTCACAGAAGAACTGATCCACCGTGTTGCCTCTACAGAAAGTCAACGTGAAGATGTTCCCGGTGTGCAGAGCCGAACTGAGGCTACCTCCGAGCCAGGCTCCAGTGGCCATTTGGACGCAAGCTCTCCGGCTCATCACTCGCTCATAGTGCAGCGGTCGGCAGATGGCCACGTATCGGTCGTAGGCCATGATGGTGAGAAGGAAAAAAATGGCTGCAATGAAGAAGATGAGGAAAAAAACCTGGGCGACACATCCAGCGAAGGAAATTGACCTAGTTTGCATTAGGGAGTTGGCCATGGATTTGGGGAGGGTGACAGAGATGGAGCCGAGGTCTAGGGTGGACAGGTTGGCCAGGAAGAAGTACATGGGCTTGTGAAGACAGTGGTCGCAAGCTACAGCTGTGATGATGAGGAGATTCTCCATCAGGGCCACCAGGTAAATCACTGAGAACAGGGTGAAGCATAAAATCTGCACCTCAGGCACGTCAGCCAATCCCAGGAGAAGGAACTCAGTCACGCTGGTTTGGTTGGACATTTCCTTTCTCCTTCCAGTGGCAGCTGCCTGCAGAGGGAAGGAGAAGGGGAAATGGTCCGGATTCGGCAAGTGACATCTCCCTCCTTTTGCGTAACCCACCTTAACTTCCTCGATGTAAGTTCAGTGCCATGTCTTGGGAAGACGGATGTAGTGTGGGGCCTGACTGACTCCTCGGGCATTCCTCCATGTTTACATTCATGTTTACATCCCCCGGCCCTTCCACTGACCTCGGTTTACACCAAGGGGAAGGAGATTCTACTCAATGGCTCAGGAGGCCCTGGAATAACTTTGTCACCCTGACCTAAGGGGTATAAGATTAGGGGAATCTTCTCCTCATTCTACAGGAGGCAGATTGCAGACGGGAGAGTCAACGCTCATCCGTCAGCTCCATAAACAGAGTGAGAGAAACCAGAGGAACCCACTACTCTAAGCAACGAACCGTTTCTCCTTTCCCAGAGCTGGGACAAAGACCAAGGAGTCCTGGCACTGGGGCGAGAACTGGTGTAGGCTCAAGAACCAGTGAAGATCATAAAATCCTAGAACTGGAAAGAATGTCAAGAGGTCCAAGCACCATGTTGTAGACCATCCCTGACAGGTCTGTCCAACCTGCTCTTAAACATCTACGGGGATGCAGATTCCAGACTCGCCGCCCCCATCCCCAGACAATTTATTCCAGTATTTCACCACCCTGACAGGTAGGAAGTTCTTCCTAATGTCCAACCTAAACCTCCCTTGCTGCAATTTAAGCCCATTGCTTCTTTTCTTGTCCTCAGAGGCCAAGGAGAACAATTTTTCTCCCTCCTCCTTGTAACACTCTTTTAGATACCTTAAAACTGCTATTATGTACCTTCTCAGTCTTCTCCTTTCCCAATTCTTTCAGCCTTCCCTCTTAGCTCCTGTTCTCTAGACCTTCCTTCGTTTTTGTTGCTCTTCTCTGAACCTTCTCCAATTTCTCCATCTCTTTTTTTTTGAAATGTGGTGCCCAGAAATGGACACAAGACTCCAACTGGGGCCTCACCCGTGCAGAGTAGAGCGGAAGAATGACGCTCACAAAGCCTCCGCAGCGCTCTGCTCTCTTTATTTCGCTGTCATCGGCCCCAACCCCAGCAAGAGGTGTTAATCCTGACTGGCCATTGGCCCAAAGCAATCCGTCCTGCTGTTTCTCCCGCCATCACTGCCCCCTCTCATCTCCCGCTCTGGGTCTGTCTGTCTCAAGGAACATAGGAAAGGGAACCTCCATTCACAGGAGCATTGCTCAGAGTCCAGCAGCGAGATGAGCTCTTCCTTCCCTGCGAAGAATGACCAGTGGGAAGAAGAGTTGTTCAGGTCCTGTCTCTGCAACCCACACAGCTAGTGTGGGGCTCTGACGAGCCTAGGAGCAAGAGACCTCGACAGCCCAGGCTCAGAGGCAGCTGGCCTTAGAGCACGAGCTGTAGCAGCACCTGGACTAAACTTCTAGAGGTTCCAGGGTCAAATCCAGCTTGTGGTAGTTACATCTTCACATCTCCTTGGCCTGCTCTAGTTGGGTACACAGTCTGTAGAGCAGTGACCTTTTGGGGGCCATGCATATGGAAAAACTCCACCTTGTCCAGAGAACACGTCTGCTCTTGCGTCATTTTTTGTGGAAGAATAGATGTGCTCTTTCAGAATCCCCGTCTTCCTCGTTTCCAGTCTAGACGGGCCAATTTTCGGAAAAGCCTCTTCCGAAAAAACAATCAGAACAACAAATTGCAGAGTGCAATTCGCGTACCTTTTTCTGAAAAAAGTGGCGGTCTAGACATAGCCAGGCAGAGAGAGAAAGACAGACAGACAGAGAGGCAAAGAGAGACAGAGAGAGACACAGACAGAAAGACAGACAGACAGAGACAGAGACAGAAACAGAGAGACAGACAGACACGGAGAGTGAGAGAGAGACAGAGAGTTGTTTCTGGAGGTAACCCCTATTTTTGCTTCCTTTAGATTGCTCTCTCTTAACTAATTTGTGACTGAAAGTCAAACCCCATACTGTCCATTAGCAATTGTTTTTCCTTAAAAGTCACCTCGTTAACCCCCCTGCCCCCGAGTTCATTGCCATAGCAAACGTACCACAGTATTCTGTGAGACACCTCACCGCCCTTCTCCTCCAAACCTTCTCCTCACCCACGACCTCTCCTCCAACTCCAGACGCCGCTCACTTTGTATCTGTCTGTCTGTCTGCCAGTAATTGTCCAAGGAAGAACAGCTCTCTCCTTCAAGGGAGACTGGCTGGTTAGATAAAACCCGACTCCCATCGGTCTTTGCACACAAGGTGTGTGTGTCTGGCGGAAGGATTTGTAACCACGCCTACTCCTGAGGGCTTCCAGGCGATCGCTCCCCGGGGCCCTGCAGATCACAGGAGAGGAGGCCCAGAGGCCAAAGTTACTTTCTGTCCGGATTGTACTTTCCCAAAACTTGTCTGAAACGGACGTGATCATAATTAGCGAGAGGAGGGAGAGTGCACTGCGGGGCCTAGGACCCAATGAGTATGCACACAAGTCTGCTCATGATGAGAGATGGCAGGAGCTCCTGTCTCGGCCACCAACCTGCCGCGTTCCCTTGCACAAGTCACGTCGCTGCTCCGTGCCTCAGTTTCCCCTCCCTTTCATTGTGTGTGACAGAGGCTGTCTCTCACTCTGTGCCTGTGCAGCAGTGAACAGACAGAGGCCCCTCGGTGGCAAGGTCCATGCACGTGACTCCAGACTTATGACTGCCAGGCGCCTCTCTCAAAATTGCCCTGGTGTGTTCATTCCCTCTTAACCATCCTGCACTGGCCATCATGTGAGTAGGACACTCAGGGTGCGTCTACAGCACGCCTATAGCTCAAATAAGCTACACAATTTGAGCTACGCAAATCGAGAGAATTTCAAAATAGCTTATATCGAAATTTGGCGCAGTCTACACAGCACTTATTTTCAAATAACCCGCTATTCCGAAACATCCCTTTATTCTCGTGGAATGTGGTTTATGGGGATGCCGGAACTGTGAGCTGGTTTTATTTTGAAATAATGGGCTTGCTTAAAAGACATGGATTAGTTATTTCGGGATACCTCCAGTATCCCAGACTAACACCACAGTCTAGAGACGTACTCTCAGAGAGATGGACCACTCGTCACACCCAGTCTGGGTCGGAGTATGACACCTTTCCCTAGAGTGTGTGAATACAGTTGGGTTGCTATTTTATTCGTCTTTTCGATTTCGGCCTCTATCGTTGGTCAGTTGCATTCCAGACTGTGAGGAACCATCTTCCGATGGCGTTGGATTGGAATTTGTCCCATTTTTAATGTATTTTATAAGCACCATCTAAGGCCCAATCCTCCGGAGGCATAAACTGAAGCAGTTCTGTTGCTGCTAAAGGTCCTATGTTAATCACACATCCGCCGGGTCTCTGAGGAGAGACCCAGTCAACATTCCTGTGCAGTGAAAGTTAGACATTCTCTGCTCCTTTGACATTTCCATCAAGAGATATTATGGGATGGGAACTTAGAGTATGTCTAGACTACAGGGTTTTGTCGACAGAAGTTTTGTCAACAGATACTGTCGACAAAGCTTCTGTCGACAAAGAGCGTCTAGA